CCCACCAGCCTTCAAACATTTCCATCCTTTCGCCTGCACTGCTTGTTCACCCTCGGCAGAGTGACCTCTCTGCCACACTGCACATCAGACAGAAGGGCTCCAAAACAGAGCTATTTTTAACACAAACTGGAGCCCCGCTCCAGGTCAATCCGCAGCCCCAGAAATCTCTGCATTTGCAAAATGCAGCTGAGGGTGGTGTGTGTCACAGCATCACCGACGCTTTTGTGCAACTGCAGCTTGCAAGCATGATGTGGGGGCAGAAATACCTTAAGCTGGTATTGTCATCAGGCATGTTGGATCATGAAAGCACAACCAAAGGGTGCAGTTTCATGGGACGTGGGTTTGGACAGCAAAGCTGCTTGCAAGTTCCCACCCTATCTGCTCACTTCTGCAGGCCTGTTCCCGGCACAGCTTCCCAAACAGTTTTCCTGACACAACAAAAAGAGTGGCAAAGCACAGGGCAGGGGCAAAGAAGGAGCAGGCTTCACTGCTGAAGCCAAATCTTGTGAAACTGCATCCTAATTATTTACTGTGGAGAACAAGTTGCTCTGGAACACTTGCCAACCAACTGCTCAAAAAGCGCAGAGTGCAGAGCCAGCAAAGGCCCCGAAACACAGGCCCTGTCCACGCCTGTGCTGGAGCGATGCTGCCACCGAGTCATCTGAGCTTGGGAAAACCAGCCATAAATTTCACTTTAAATAGAAAAATAAAAACAGGTTTTCCAGGCTGTCATGAGTCTCAAGGAATTACTTGAAGCACAGAAACCACTCAATATATCTACATGCCTCTTATGTTGAGTTAGGTAAACTTAAGCCAAAGGTGGTCACATAGTAAAATAACAGGTATTTTGCCTCTAGTTACAGCCTTAAAATCAGTAGGATTTAAAAAAAAAAAAAATCAGTAGGATAAAAAAAAAAAAAAGTTAGAAAACAGTCCAGAAAACAGCCCTAAGTATCTTGTTTTGTTATCATACATTTTGGGATCTATAGTTATTTGCTTTCTGATTAATAGCTCTCCCAAGGCAAAAATTAGTCCGCAGTTTCAAACTTCTTTTTTTGCAGTCTAAAGGTATAGAGGTGCACTGAAGAAAGCCCAAATCCAGAAATGAAGGTGTGACAGTTGGCAAGTAGGCCAAGAAAAACTTGTGCTAGTACTTTGAAGAGGAGGCTGCAGAACAAGTTTCTCTTTAAAAAAAAAAAAAAAAAAAAAAAAAAAATTTCACCGTGTTTTACGGTAAGAGAGAT